TTCGCAAATAGTTAAGGATGTGGGCTGTTCTAGTTTTAGGGAAATGCGAAGTTTAGCTCAGGATAGGAAAGAGTGGAGGTACGTGTCCAACCAGTCTTAGGACTGATGACCTTATGATGATGATGATGATGATGAAAACTAGTCTTAAGAAAGTCCAACAACCCGGGCGAATCGTCGGCTGTGGTTTCTTAAATAAAGTACTTTTAACTCCAATAGTGCTTTGATTAAACAAAAACTATTCATTTCCTTTTAAAAGTACCTAATCTTGTACATGCCTCCACGTTTTCCCCAAAATTGAATTGTTCATATTTTGCATCTTCCATTTTCAATACATCGCAGTCACTACTTCTCACATTCGCAGTTATTATGAAAGAAGAAGTAAAAAATAAAGGACAAATTCAAAGGTTCAAAGGTCCCGAAGTCAAACGACGAAAACGTAATTATTTTAAGCTACCTTATAACTTTAGTTAATTTTTAATTTAAATTTGACTTTTTAGTACTACTTGGGTCGTTTATATGGGGTCCATCTCATGAAAAATAAAATCATCAAGCGACAAATCTGATAGGTGATAGGGATCAACAGTCGAAGTTTTTCTACGTTACATGTAAATGTAAATAAATACATTAATGGATAAATATTGAGTGATTGAATAATGTCGACGCTTTTTATCTAACGTTGCGATTTGGCCATGTTTAGGTTTTGTTACGTGATTTTGTTTATTCAACGCTGTTAATGGAAATTCTTAAAAAAACAATTACAATCCCGAATCACATTCCTACACTTTTTCGACCCGCTTTTCGCCGTAAATGAATTTGGAAATTACAGAGCGAACGGTTTAGAGATTTTAAGCACCGACACACGAGAAACATTAAAAAAATTCCGACTTAACGCTAAAAACGCTGAATTCCCATAAAAGCACAGAATTTGCCCCAAAAGCGATTTACTAATGAATAATCGTTTCAGTCCGTCCATCGTTATTCGGCGTAATACATATAAATATGTATTGACATGTGAAAAATAACTTTTTGGTATTGAATTTGAGCCTAAAAAGAATATCTAATTTTAAAAATATTTAAAAAATTCCATATCAATACTTAGGTGTTGTTGTAAATTGTCATGTACCTCGCTTTCTATTTCATCGTCTCTCTCTACATCTTATCTATCTGTCCTTGTTTTCTCCTTTATTTATGACTTTTCTGTATTTTCGACCACTATTCGCCTATCCTTCTCTTGCCGGTTGCTAATACTTCTGTGCTGTCTTTCTCTATCTCACCACCTTTTCACCCTTAAG